GCTCCATGCCTCAATTTCCTTTCTGCAAAGCCAAGCACTGCTCTGCAACAACTTCTGCTTAGTGTCTCTCTTTCCTGTGAGCTTGCCAGCCTGGCCCCAACCTCATCCTCATCTTCATCCACATCCTTATAAAATCATAGCATTGTTTAGGTTGAAAAAGACCTTTCAGATCATCAACTATCCTCATTCCTATCCTCACCCCTATCCCCATCCCCATCCCTATTCTCATCCTCATCCTCATCCCCATCCTCATCCTCATCTCATCCCCCTCCTCATCCTCATCCCCATCCCCATCCCCATCCTCATCCTCATCCTCATCCTCATCCTCTTCCAAGGGACCGGGGGGCTCCAGCCACATCCTCCCTTTGCACCCAGATGGTTTCCAGTCTGTTTCCTTTTTGCCTCTACTCTTTTTTTTTTTTAATCCCTATTTTCGCTTCTTTTCCACGGGCAAAAAGAACAATGCCTTCTTGTTCCTCAGCCTGCCTTCCCTCGAGGGATCACGTCACTCCATTGGAGCTCGTTTCCTGCCCCATTTGCTTGGTCATCGCTGCTGATGTAATACCCACGGGGGCCACTCACGCCAGGGGGTAAAATCAGGAGAGCTTGGAAAGACTTTTTCCCCCCCTTAAAAAATTAGGAATTAAAGAAAAAAAAATGACAGAGAAAGACCCCTGGGCCCTGTGCTACTTGCAAGAGGAACTTTTGTCATCATTTATAAAACAGCTTTTTTTCCCTGCTGTTGTTTATAATACTTGGACGCTCTGGAGAGAAACACGACTCCTTTACCAACGGGGAGTTTTATTTTCCCCCCGTGAAGGAGCTCGACCTGGATGGCCCCTGTTGTTATTGTAGGGTCTCATGCCTGATTTCCTGGCAGCCAAGGGTCAAACCACAAGCACCAGCATTGCTGGGGTTAATAGGATGGCAGAATTCGACCTTGTCACCCTCCAGATGTCTCCTTATCACAGCAGGGCACACAACTGTCCCCATCCAGGACTGGCCAAATCCTGATCCTTTTTTGCTGAGCCAGCGCTTTCCCGCCTCCTGCAAGTCAGGGGGCCTTGGCAACTCCCTCTGCCCCACTATCGCCTCCAAAAAGGGACAACCACAGCAAGAAAATGTTTGTTTTTTCTCCTCCGCCCCTCGGCCTGCCCCAGGGAGCTGCCAGGGAAGATTTCCTTCTCTTCACTGTGAAAATTAGAATAATAAAAAAGGCAGGCCTGCTCCCCACTGCGCTGTTTGTGCAGGTGTGCCGGGCTTAGTCCAAAAATCCCAGCTCTGGCAGTTTTCTGAGAGGATGGCTGCTTCGCCTCCGTCTGCCCAGCACTGTTGAGTTTCCAGTCCTGGAGATGCAGGGACCGCCGGGGTGGGTGGCTGTCAGCAGTGAGGACAAAACCAAGAAACCAAGACGCACTCCTTCATCCCTCCAACTCATCTCATCGCCACAGCATCCCTCCTCCAGAACCTCCTGGTGCACCCCTTCATCCCATCCCACCTCAATCCCACTGAATCTTGTTGGGATCCCCAGCTGGTTGTTAACACACCTCAAGATGGTAATAATATCAACCCAATCCCATCCCCAAGCCCACAAAAGGGAGATCTTCCCAGCAAGATTGTAATCTCCCGGCCCAGGTGCCCCATTCATGGGTGATGACATCCTCAGGCATCACCAAAGCCACCACAACTCAAGCTTCATGGGTATCAAAATCCCCATGATCCCATGTGATCTCCAGAACATGCTCCCATTCAAAAACCAACCTTGGGTGACCCATTTGCATGAGGGCAAGGAGAAAAAAAAACCACACTGGAGATGGAAGAAAGCAGAGGGGATGGGTCTGGAGAGGGGCTGGTGTGAGGAAGCCCTGGAATATGCCTTCTGGGGGTTGGTCAAGAGTGGGGGAGCACTGGTAAGAACCAGCAGCTTGGTTGAACCCCATGAGGAGGTGTGGGCCATCTGCAGCCATGGCTCAGATGCTGCGTGGGCTTGGCTTTTACCAGCCAAGATTTCCTTTGCCTGAGAACATTCATCCCTTGAGCAAGACTCGGATGACACTTGAGTCCTCTGCAGCGGGCATGAGCAGGAGACATAAAGACTCAGCGTCTCTTCCTCATCTCCTTGACAAAGCCTGGTCTGCTGCATTTATCTCCTCCCTTGATAAAGCCACAGCAGATGGTGCTCTCCCACCTCTGCCATGGCCTGCCAACCCATAGATTTAGGGCTGGAAATTATTTCACTTCTCATCTTCCAAGATATCTGCATCAGCTGAACTCATAATGCTCATGCAAGCCCCAATGAACCCCCACATAAAAGCTGGTGGGATCTAATTGCTTAATTAAGCCCTCAGGTCCCCCAGCGAGGGACCATGAATGCCACACATTCCTGGCAGAGCTGGGTGGGATTAGGAGGCTCTTAAAGAGCTTAGGAACATAATTAACATCTGATTCGGCTTTGTGAAGTGTTTTGACCAATTAAGAAACCTGCCTGAAGAGTGGCCCTGCAGGTGACAGGCTTGGAGGTTTTATTGATGACCCCCAAGGAGGTGACAGCTTTCCCCAAACAAAGCTTGGCTGGAAAGAGCAGCAGGTGACCCAGAGGAGAGGGCAGGCCCCAAAGGGCCACCTCCCTGGGCCAGTCAGATGATCTTTATTCCCTTCTTTCAATTTATTAAAGAAAAATGTGAAGAAGAAGGCTAGGGACTCCTACACTGAGAGGTAGTTGTCCCATTGTGGGCTCACTGGTCAGTGAGGGTTGTCCACCCCACCATGGGCACACTGATCTCCCTGGCTGAGCCACAGCACCATCACCTCCTGGCCCAGCTTCCAGAGAACCTTGAAGGAAACAGCCTTTGCCAAGAGGGAGATCAGCTTGGCAGGCACTTCCCTCTAGTCACCTCGGGTCATCTGCAGGGCAGGTGTCACTTCCCAGAGACATGGGACTACCAGCATCTCTCATTCCTGCATCTCTCACCTCCTACATCCCTTGCCCTTCCCTCCCTCAGGCCCATCATCCCTCATCCCCATCATCCCTCGCCCATCCGGAGTGGCTGCTCCTGGTGAGGCGGGCAGAGTTCCAGAAAAAGCTCCACACAAACCCTGTCCCCAAGCTTTCCCACACATCTCTGGTGGGGCCAGCCAGACCTCAGGCTGACCCAGCCCGGCTGCTCTCACAATGTTTACTCACTCGCACGCAATGGGGCAGGGCTGGGATGAACATTTTCCCAGCCCAAACCTTCAGGGATGGGTTTTTCTCAGAAACCAGGGTTATGGGGTCAGATGGGTCAGAGGCTCCAGCTGAGATGATTTTCCCAAGGGACAG